GTATGTCTTATATGTATGTATGTATGTATGTAGGTATAGTATTTATGTTGTAAGGGGGGTGTATGTAATGTAGGTAGTATGTATGTATGTATTATCTGTAGTCTGTATGTCTATTATGTATGTATGTATGTGTATGCAATTTATGTATGTATGTGTGTGCCTGCGAGGTATGTGTGTGTGGTTTACCCCTCTTTCTCTCTCTGTCTCTCAGTCACTCTGTGTCTGGCTCTCTCTCTCTCTCTCTCTCTCTGTTTCTCCTTCTCTCGTTCTTTCTGTTTTTCTCTTTCGAGTGCTTTCATTGTTCCTCCCGGTATCTCTAAATCTCTTCTTCAACCTTTAAATTGCTGTTGTCCTTTGCTCTGTTTCTTTGATCTCTCCGTCTCTGTTGCTGTCGCTCTCATGCCTTTTCGGTTGTTTTCTCTTGCCCTCCTTCTGTCGCTTGTCTTGCTCGTTCTCTTTCACTATCTCTGACGCACTCATTGTCTGGTTCTGTCGGTCTTTCAGAACTGAAAACATTATCAAAATGCTAATGGTAATTGTTCAGTGTCTGTCATTGTACATTCTTCTCCCTCTTGCTTCCTTTTACACACTCGCAGTCCACACCAATTATTGTTGTTAATATTATTATATTGCACGCTCAAACAACGCTTCAGTTCTTTAAGCCCCCTCCACCCACGCCCCCCCCCCCAAAGTCCGGGAAAATATAAATGCAACCTGCAATGGTGTCTGTATGTTTGCACCCCAAAGGCATTGGTTCTCGTTAACCCCCCCCCCCCTTCCACCCCCTTTTCCGCCCCCACCCACTCAGTATTACCAGAATGGACTAACTATCCTTCTCTTCCTGCCCCCTACCCATCCAGTATAAACTAAATGGACCACGTACCCCTCTCCTCTCCCCCCCCCCAGTATAAACTGAATGGACCACGTACCCCTCTCCCCCCCCCAGTATAAACTGAATGGACCACGTACCCCTCTCCCCCCCCCCCAGTATAAACTGAATGGACCACGGACCACGTACCCCTCGCCCCCCCCCAGTATAAACTGAATGGACCACGTACCCCTCTCCCCCCCCCAGTATAAACAGAATGGACCACGTACCCCTCTCCGCCCGCCCCCCAGTATAAAACAGAATGGACCACGTACCCCTCTCGGCCCCCCCCCCCCCAGTATAAACAGAATGGACCACGTACCCCTCTCCGCCCGCCCCCCCCCCCCAGTATAAACTGAATGGACCACGTACCCCTCTCCGCCCGCCCTCACCCAGTATAAACAGAATGGGACCACGTACCCCTCTCCGCTCCCCCCCCCCCCCCCCCAGTATAAACTGAATGGACCACGTACCCCTCTTTTGCCCGCCCCCCAGTATAAACTGAATGGACCACGTACCCCTCTCCGCCCGCCCTCACCCAGTATAAACAGAATGGACCACGTACCCCTCTCCCCCCCCCCCCCCCAGTATAAACTGAATGGACCACGTACCCCTCTCCGCCCGCCCCCCAGTATAAACTGAATGGACCAACTATCCCTTTTGAGGAGGAGATAGGAGCACCTGGGAGTCGCCGTGGCCGAGCGGCTAGACGCTCGCCGCGAATCGGAAGGTCGTGGGTTCGCTCCCTGGCGGAGACGGACTTTTCTTTAAAAATGACCTTGGCTCCCAGGTCGACCCAGCCTTGAGTGGGTACCGGGTGCAATCCCGGGAAGTAGAGGCGGCCGGCGTGATGCTGACCACATCACCCATCTTGTGCCGTTGGTCTAAAAAAATATAGGTCTAGCCCTATATGCCCTATACGCCTAAAGGCGTGGAAAGGGTCCTTTACCTTTTTTTTTTAGGAGCACCTATGGATCTGTCCGGAGTGCTGCGATCATAATCCTTTCTAATCACTAATCTTTTACCTTTTAGAGAAGATGTTGTTTTTGTCGGTGTGCCAGATTCGATCCCAGCTGCGGACGATTTGTCTTGCGTTGGTTTCGACAGTGGTACTGAGCGCTGGCAAACTACTAAACGTAAAATTTGCCTAGAAAAAATCACAAAAGCCAAAAAATGCTGGGGTTGGGTCTGCAACGTTCTGTAAAGGATTCACAACTAACTTTTTTTTTCAAAATGGATCACATCTTATAGAGACCGAGCACTTATGAACTTGTCCCTAGTGCAGTAACCAAGATTTGTCAACAATGTTGTCATCGTTAGCCTTCAAGTTATTCACTAGCTCATGCACAAGTTCGCACTTGCTGTGAACACAACTCGAAGCCGTGAACAAAACCCATAGACAACAATGGACACAATCAGTATAGCGACAGACAATATAAGCACACGAACCCACACCCCCAGTCACGTGAGGAAGCCAGACGACCAGACCATCAACTCCGCCAGCGACTCTTCTCTCCCCGATCTTCACATGGATACGCATGACCTGTTCTCTGAATTCTTATATTGTAACGGAGGAAGCAAGAAACACAATCAATTCGGTCAACAAGACTCAAATAAGAAACATCCTCGTTT